TTCTTGAAACAAAATAAAAATATTTATTTCCATCTCAACTCCAGCTCTCTCTCTCTCTCTCTCTCTCTCATTTGCATAAGAATTATTTAGTGAACTTGTAAATAAACTGTAATTATTAAATTCTCCAATATTTCACATATATAAATATTGTAGATTAATATTTTATTATTGGTCCTATAAGGTTTAAAGTTTTTGCGCTCTCTCTCTCCCGGTTTTATATAGAATATAGGAATTTATATACAAATATCTTAAATATCTGTTATTATAGACCAAAGTGAACATTAAGGAATTCATCCGTTTCTATGACAACCGCATCTGCACTCTGTATATAATATCACTTCTAAAAGCAATTTCTATAGTGTTTATCACTAAAGCAGAACTCAATTCACACTTCGTATGTGTTGTATGTCTTATGTGTGCCATTTTTTACCATCATTAACCATATATTTAAAAACATACACCTAAATTGAAAATAAATTGTTTACATTAAAAATTATAATCTAAAACTATACAAAATACACATCTCTAAATATGTTACCACGTGAAACTAAATATACACCAGTGTAATAATTAACAAATACTTTATATTTTCCAACTATATCGCATGTTATATCAATAACAACAATGTCAAGCACCAGGTTGACCATACTGTTTGCGCCATTGGAGTACCATGGTCACGTGAACGCGTGTCACGGCATCGCCGAGCGGCTCCGGGACAGAGGGCACCGCATTGTGTTCGCCATCGACAGCCTATTTGAGGGCAAACTGCGAGCGCACGGCTTCGAGGAGCAGCTCCTGTCACTGCCCGACCACTTGCAAGACGATGAGAGCGAAGTGGAGTTCATTAACCGTAACCACGATCTGTTCAAAGCGGACCCGTTGACAGTGGCCGACAAGTTCATAGCCTATGGCTTTCATATATTTCTCCGCAATCTCAAGGCTATTGACGCTCAGTATCGCCAGATTCTGGCCAAAGTGAGGCCCCATTTGATTGCCATCGACTCGTATATGGGGTCCCCGGCTCTCATCGGCTCCGGTATACCCTTTATACTCATCTATTCGGCCGCACCTCTCATGCTGTTCAATGACCACCGATTGCCCCCTCCCTGGTCTGGTAGGTCATTGATTGTCAGTTCAGTTTTATCATGATTCATTCATTATTACCATGTAGTCTATTATACTATTTTAAATTATAAGTTATAATTTATAACTAAATGTATATTTAAATAAAAGCCTAATGTTTTACTTTAGGGTTTGGTATGAATTCAGACAAGACTTCGTGGACAGCGTTCAGAGACCGGTTCGAAGAGATGTTTGCGGACGTGAAACGGGACACAAACGCGTGGTTCGCGGCGGAGGGCATCGGTCAACTGCCCGCCAGCGGCTCCAACAGTCTCCTACACCCGGAGTCCCGGTATCTCAACGTTTACATGTATCCCAAAGAACTGGACTATCACTCGGAGACCCAATCGCTGGCCCCGAACTGGAAACGAGTGGACGGTTTCGTGCGGACCACTGGCGAGACATTTACAATACCGGAGTCGTTGGCCGAGCGGTCGGGCAAACTGGTCATGTTGTCGATGGGCTCTATCGGGTGCGCTCTGTTGGACCTTATGGTACGGTTGACCACAATTCTGGCCAAATCCGAGCACCGGTTTATTGTAACCAAAGGCCCCCTTCACGACCAGTACGAGTTGCCCGACAATATGTACGGCCAGCCATTTTTGCCCCAGACCGCTGTGTTGCCCATGATCGATTTGGTGATCACCCATGGTGGCAATAATACGGTGACCGAGTGTTTTTATTACGGCAAACCCATGTTAGTTATGCCACTATTCGCCGACCAGTTGGACAACGCCCAGCGTATCCGCGAGACGGGTCTCGGCCTCACTTTAAACCCGTTCTTCTGCACAGAGGATCAGTTGCTGAAGACTGTGGACACGATTGTCAATGACTTATCATTGGCTGAAATGATGGCACTGATTGGTGAGAGGATCAGATCCACCGATGATAAGAGTGTTATCGCGGATATTATTGAAGATATTTGTGTCAATAAAAAGTGATTTATTATTATTTTTTTAATAAACAAATTATGATTACTTTATTCAAAGTACGAGAAATGATTGTTTTATTTTGATGATCATGTTTTACAAACTTGTTTTTATTAATACATTAAGGTGATATATTTTGGCTCATTACAGTACAAATAATTTAGACATAGATGTGTTTTCTATTGTCTATTTTTCCCATTTGTTTAACGTTATCGATAGTTTATGTATGAGTAGAAAGAAACGGCAAAACAGTATTACTATCTGTAAAATAAAGTTAAATATGTATTTTGAATGCTTTTATTAAATATACTATTTAATCATGTTCAAACATAATGCAATTGTACCTTGTAATTAACATTTGAAGTGATGGTGAATTGATTTCCGCACGTGAAGCCCACTTTGTAATACCTGTCGCTAACCCTTTTCATGGCATTTATCAACTAAAATGTGAAATATAATGCATTAATTAAAATAAATTTACATTTATTAACCAACTAACCCTCACATCATTTATCGCTTTTAATCTACAATTAATTAATATATTAATTAAATGTAGATATGATTTATTCGCCTCTTGATTAATAGCGGCTGTCATTATGTTTATGGCACTAATCGATAGGAAATATACACTGAAAGCCATAACCAATACATAATACATGAAAATATTGCCCAATTGTGAGAATAATATCTGATGTAATAATAATAAGCAAACGGGAATTATGGTAAAATTGAGCACAAAAAGGTACTGGCGCCAAAATAAATTATACGTGTGTATCAAACGGCAAACATTGTTGTGTTCAGCTATGGTATTAAAAATATTCTTGCTCAATTTTCCCCTTATCACTTGCTTGCTACATTGCTCTAATAACTTATTGACCCTGTTGAATTTGATTCGACAGTATTCGCATACAATAAAACATGTAATATTAGAAAACATAACCACTGGACCAGTTAGGTAAGCAAATATCATCATGATAATGATGCCTAAAATACCATACATTATAAACTCATAGAAACCATACATTAATAGAGCTATGGATGTAGCAGACGATAGAAATAACAAAATAAACGTGTTGATTATTGTAGGGGTAAATTTCATCATTAGTTTAACATGATTCAATAGTGAATCCAATTTTTTGTCCATTTTACTATGACTTTTACCATAAGTAGACAATAATTCGTGGCATTTCAGGGCATTTATAACACGAAGCCATTCGTAATGTCTGTGATGTGGACTGTAATTGAATATAAATACCAAACTCAGAGAATAGACAGCATTTAACAATTCTGTTGAGTATATGAATTGAGGGATTCCTCCCAAATGATGGCTCAAATCCATATAATATAAGGGTATTTCGTAACCCATTTGTATTGTCACCAAACATATGGTGAAATATATCACAAATAATACTCGCAGCCATATATGAATGTGCAGTTTATGGCTTTTTGACCCATTATGGTTTTTATTACTATTATTTAGGAGATTATATTCGGTATATTTATTCAGTATATCGGTGTCGCATATTAGGCCATATTTGTTGAGACCCAATACGATATCATTGCTGTATATTTTAGGTGAAAATTGTTTTGACTGTCTTTTACCCACCTTTGCTTCCATTTCATTGATAAAAGTAATCATGATTATTAAAGATATTGTGTTTATCTCAGATTTTAGGTTTTAAATTTAAAATTATAATGGTATTTTAAGGGCATATTCTATCAACTTTTGGTGCATAACTTAATAAGCAATAGAAATATAAAGATATGATTTATGTTTTTAAATCACGATATACAGTGAATTGTGCATTTATATTTATTTTAAAATTTTACAATATAATGTACATCTAAAGGTACTAGTATTAATACGACCGGACTTATTGATTTATATTTACTCTATTAAGAGTGCTGTGTTCATATAAAATTATATTCTTTATTATAATGATGATATTTTGGTTTATATGAGTAAATAAAATTTATTTATAATTAACCTAGACATAATTATGCACTACAACGATCAAAGTAATTTATCACTGTAATTTCTAATGCAATTTAATTTTTTCTAACATCATTTTCTTAGCAGTAAGTTATGAAATTGTAATAAATTACAAATGAAACTACATTATAAAATAAACAACGTAAACTTGAAAAATAAAATAGAAACACAAAAATATAATATTACATTGCAATATATTTTTTGAGTTAATACAGTTTATAAATACTAATAATTTATCTATTAAACATTATGCTATAGGACAGTAGAGCATCTTGGCCAATTGTATTAATGTAATTGTAATAAAATTATATTTTTGAATTAATAAATATTATTCAATGAAGGTTATTTATTTAACACATTTAAGTTATTGTGTACCCATAACTGCTATATATTTATAAATTACTGATATACATTTTAAATTATATAATTTATATTTCAGATCATGTAAAGAAAAACATTTTTATATTACAATTAAAATAGTTTTATTAATGATAATATCTATATATTATATTATAGGATATTAATATTACTAATTAATAATAACTTCGTTAAGTTATAACAAAGTTAATAATTAATGACAAAAAGATTTATTATAAAACATTTCCATGATGCAAATGATGCACATTCAGTTCTATTAACTATTTTAACTATTAACATTTCAATGCTAATTAAGACGATAAAATTAATTAAATATCATATGTATTTGACAAATAAAATTCTCAATAAGTTACAAATATTAATTACATTTAGGAAACAGTATTACTATATAAATACCATAAAGAAACATACACTTTTTAAAACATTATAGAATTTTTAATATAATTCACCAAAAAATTAAAACCTAATAATGAAATTATATTTCCTGATCACTATTTCCATTGCATTGCTATTAAATAGCGGCAATAATGTGGCCGATTGTGCGGAAATCATAGCCGTACCCGGATCAAACTGTCACCTTGGTCAAGCCATCAAACGTATATATAAAAACTATAAATTGCAAACTTGGTAACATAATTAAAATGTGGTAAAATAAATGTAAATTTTTGAATTACTAGATATGTTTGAATTGTCTGGTATGACTCTGGCGGACATGGATCGGGTCAAGATTGAGGTCTGCAAACTTTGCGAATCCTGTTGTAAAGCCATTGATCTGATCGAGAAGACCGTCATCGAAGATGTCTAGACTATTATCACCGGCTAATCCACGGCTCAGCTCTGATTATGCCTGATGCTTTGTTTATTTTAATTAAATTTATTAATTTTAATGATTCACTTTTAATCTATTATTTTTAAATAATTTATTTAGTTTTAACACATGTTATAATTGTACTTAAATATTTAGTTTTTATTAAAACACAAGACAGTATTAAACTTTAAAATATTTTAAGTTACTTTCCAATACTAATGACTCTAACCCATCAACTTCCACAGGTTGCACTCAGGTTGCATTCGCGCCTTTTTATGTGCGAGGGTATACTGTATAATTATTATCAACCAATTACTAATAGCAAAAATAATGAAACTTCAGCTATTAACCAAAGTTAAACTATGAATTACCATAATTAAACATTACAATACGTCCTATTGACTAAAAANAACTTCAGCTATTAACCAAAGTTAAACTATGAATTACCATAATTAAACATTACAATACGTCCTATTGACTAAAAATATGTAACCTGGATGTCCCTGCTCTAACCTATTATTGGCTATTTTTTAAAAAAATTATGATTAAAACGGCATATTTAACAGTTTTGGTCATGATCTGTATGAAGACGGCTAACCATATCTCCAATCTGGCAAATTTACTTATTTTTAATTATAACTCAAACTTTTATTATGTTATTAGAAAATTAATAAAACTTGCATGTTCAATTTTTTCAATAATTTATTTGTATATTTTTTTAATAAATAAAATACTCTTACACAGTATATAATTTTTTAAGTTTTATGTTCAACGAATAAATTAAAAATATGTAAAAACTTTATTAAATATAAGCAACACAATTATGATAATAAAAGTACTTTTATTATATCTTTCTTGGTAGTATAATGGAAATTAACTCATTTAAATAAATCATCATGGCTTTATAATTAATGCAACAAGAAATAAATATTAAATAAACATAGTCTGTACATTGATGAATGTCAATAATGTAACCTTCAACAATGCATAAAAATACTAATATTTTACCCAGAAGTTTATATTTAAAATATTACAAGTTTAAGTAAAAAGATGCATATCCGTGTAATAAATTAATTACAACATTGAACATAAATAATTATAATTAATTAAATACTGGAATAAAAGAGACAAATATTAATGTATAATAACATTAATTTTAAGTAAATGTCAAAAAATTGTGTATAAATTCAATGAAAAAACACAGAATAAATTGAACATAAATAATTATAATTAATTAAATACTGGAATAAAAGAGACAAAATAATTACATATTATTGTAATTAAAATTCATTTACAGTTTTTTAACACATATTTAAGTTACTTTTTTGTGTCTTATAAGAGTGTGTCTTAGGATTCCAATTAAGTTCACGGCATTGGATTGGATTGTTTAAATTTTAAAATATACATAAAACTAACCAAGTTTGTAATAAAATATAATGGTTTCTCGTTTTATGATAGCTTTGGTGGTGTGTTTGACGGCTCAACCGTTTGTCCAATCGGGCAAAATAGTGGAGATTCCGGGCACTGACTGTAATCTCGCTCATGGAGTGCAGCGTAAGTGTATTTATTAGCTTAATTGATTATAGATATGAGTAATTATATCTCAATTCAATCTAAATTAGATTTATTTGACCTGGCCGGCATGAAAGTGGAAGATATGGACAAGGTGAGAGTGGAGTTGTGTAAGACATGCGAACCATGTTGTAAATCAATACAACTCGTTGAGGATCTGCTCAAAGAAGCTTAAATGTACTGTACATACAATTGTTATCGTAAATGGTGAAGTAAATAAAATTAAATTAATAATTTAATAATAATCATTATAAAAGTTATATTTTCGTGCAAACAATTGAAAGATGTCACACTAAGTCTATAAGACGTTGCTTAACATTACAAAATTATTTAAAAACTATAAGACATAGAGCATTAAAAATAGATTTAAAATATAGATGATTTATTAAACTTTAAAAATATATATAATTTGATTGGTAAAAAATGCTACTTTGATAAAATTTTGTGAATATTCGTAGCGTCCCTTTTGAAACATTTTCCAACGCTCCTGAAATATTTTAGATTTTTGTAAATTAAATGATTGTTTAATGTAATGAAAATGGATTTTCATGATGTTAAGGCTCGTAGTAGGGGTAGACTATCTACGAATCTAATTAATAATTGTTTTGACCTTTGATTTGTTAATTTTTTTCGAATTTACCGAAAAATGACTTGATTTTCGGTAAACTTCTTGAAGCTGATCCAGAAGGTAATTATGATGAAAAATTTTACCAAATGATGGTAAACACTTTTTTAAATAGATATCTTAATTGATTATAGCGTTTTGGAATATTTTTGACATTTAAATTTATATTTAGTTAACATATCGGCTATTATCAAAAAGTATAAAAATATCACTTATTTTCTCATAGAACTACAGCAAAAAGTGTTGGAAAAATAAAAATAGCACCGTCCAATCCCTAAGTTGATATTTGTCTTTATGTCACATTTTTACCGAACAAATTATATATTTATTTAAAGTTTAATAAATTATCTACATTTTGGATATGTTTTTAATGCCCTATGTCTTATAGTTATTAAATAATTGACATTACAATTCGTTGCAGAATATCTGAATCACACTGTAGAAAGTTAACAAACGTGCTTTTATATTGAAAATATTACTAATAATAATTTAATAATTAAATTAAAATAAATGAAGTGGTAAATGCTATATTTTACCGAACAAATTATATATTTATTTAAAGTTTAATAAATTATCTACATTTTGGATATGTTTTTAATGCCCTATGTCTTATAGTTATTAAATAATTGACATTACAATTCGTTGCAGAATATCTGATTTACACTGTACACTGATGTTTTTCTCTAAATATTTTTTTCTTAAATTATTTAATTTTTTAATACTTGTATAGCACAAGTTGTATTAACTATTAAAAATATAATTTGAATTAAATAATTATATTAATGATAATTTTTATGTGAAAATCATTGTATTTTCACTGAAACCCACGCATTGAAGGCCAACAATAACTTTCATTATTTTCATGAACTTTCTCTCAAAAATATTTTCAAGTTTTCATTTAATTTTGAAGTGTTTGTTATATTTGTAGAAAAATGTTTGCAATTATCAACACTTCTCACAATGTTTTTGAGGACAGGTATGTGCTTATGGTTTATATTGTATTTGTATTATATTTGTATTATAAAAATAAAAACATTTAATATACAAAAATACATAAAATAATTAAATAACACATCAAAATTTCTCATTCCTTGGCATACATTTCGGTGTAAAAAACAATACTTTTTTGAATGAAAAGTCTATGAAAAACCCCTTTTGCTGTCTATTTATTGTAAAAAGTATTTACTTTTCACACAATTGTTACGCTTTTTGTTGTTATTTTCTCTCGGATTTAATCGTTTATTTAATGCAATTTTATAAAATTATTATTTATTGTAAACATATTTTCAAAATACATATTTTACTTGAATTTTATAATAAATATTTATATTAATAGTTTGACGTTTAATTAAAAAAATAGATATCACATAAAAATAATTATAAAAACATTAATAAAAAGTCAATAAATTTGATTAAAATAGTTACTACAGGCATATAAAGTTCTATATAAGTTCTTTATAAGTTCTATAAACCACCTCGTTAATTCTGTCAATAATTCTGTCAATAAATAGAAAACATTTATGTTTTATTTAGATTATTAATGAAAAAGTATTAAATTTAAAACTTTAATTAAATAAATGTAATTAATTATTGCCAACATAAAAAAGCATATAGCTCTCATTTAACAGCCCGAACCAATTGCTGGGCCTCTCGCATGTGGGGCTCAAATATCTTCATATATTTATCCACTTCGCTATCTGTGAATCCATACTTCGGGGCCAACTCTTGGACAGATTTGCAGCCCTCGGGAGCGGCCGTAAAGTCCACGTCGGAGTCGCCGCCCAAATAGCGGGGCAACTGATCCAACGGTATGAGTGTCTTAATCTCATCGCCGGACGCAAACTTAATGATCTTCTCCTGCGAACCGATCCAGAGTTTGGCCACAGCCCAGAGGGGCCGCAATAGTCGGGGCAGGTTATAGACAATCACATACCGGAGCCCATAAGGAAAGTATGACTTGAGTGTATTGATGAGGAACTGCAGGAAATCCATGTCGGCGTTGGAGAAGCCGACTCCCGTCAAGTCAAACACCAGTGCGTAACCGTTGGCGCCCGACTCGGTGTCCACCCGATTGAGAACACCGACCAGGAATTGGCGTAAATACTCGGTAAGGGCCGGCACTTTGCGGTACACTTTGATCCGCATGTATAGCAATTGGTGGCCCTCGCGGTCCCTCCCATAGGGAAATATGGCACCCGTTTTGACAAACTCTTGCGGCAAATCGGCTTCAGTCCGATGGTTAACGCCGTACGATAGACGCCACCGGAGACAGGCGTCCAACTGGTCGATGGCTTTGCCGACGTTTCCTCGATTCCACTTTATATACCGAAGACACGGCCAGTCGTCGGACCCGACCTTTTCCACGTCCGACTCGTCGTACAGCTCCGGGTGTGTCCCGACTCGGATCTGAATCGCTTGTCTCACTTCAGGGATCAGTTCCCTATAGTCTTGTGGTTTGGTTTCCGATGGCATCGCTAATCACTGACCAGTTATTGATGTTTTTCTTTGCAAATGATTTTTTGTTAAGTAATTTGTGACAAATCTGTAGTTAAAAGTAATGAAAATTTATGTTTAATTAAGTTTTATTTATTTTAATGATGATATAATTTGTGATAGTTTTTTTTGTTATTTTATAATACTTTATAAAACATTTGACTTACATGTTTTAAATCTCAAAATTTTTAATCGAGTTAAATTGTAAATAAATTTAATTTAAAATAAACACTTTGTTATCAAAAATTTCTATGAATAAATACAGATTTAGTATTAAAATTGACACTTATTTACAATACAATTGTAAAATGAGATTACATTTAAAAGGATTGAAAAACTTTAACCGCATATCAAGTCATACATCCGTCTCATAAGAGGACAAATAACTTTATGATAAATTTAAAAACTTTTTAAACCAATAAATAGAAATAGTTTTAATTTATGATCATGCATCAATTGGCTTATTAATGCACCACTTAATTGCTAATTAAAGCATTTCTATTGAAATGCCAACATTGAAATCAAATCAGACATATATAAAAAGCACTAAATTTTTAATTAAAATTTGCAAAAATACTGAAATTTCACTTTTCAATAGCACGGGTAGGAAAGGGAGAGTGAAATGTGGAAAGTGCTGTGTTATGGGGCGAGACTTACTATACGTAAACTAACCATATTATAGATTTCTAAGGACATAGTCATCGATATGTACAGTCAAATGAAAAGTTAACACATCTGTTAACGTTAGCGTCAATCATAGGCAATGTATTGCATACTTTTTAACCAACATGTAAGTTTTAAGGTAGAAAAAACTTTATTTTGTTTTTATCAGATGTGTTCGACTGTATATATAATATTGCATAACAGGTGTGGACATTAGGGGGTAAGCGATGGCAATGGGAAATAACCGGTTTGTAATAGCAGTAACTATACGGGGAATATGTTTCTAATAATTATGTGTATTTTTATATCTCGTTCAGTTTGGACATATAAATTAGTAGAATTACATCGGGGTATTTGTGGTAAAACCCATAGGGTTTTTGTCTTACCTGCAAGTTTAATCGTAATATTTTTAATGATTATCTGGAAATTGCTCTCTATATGCAATCAAAGCTGAAAAACACAAACAAAAAACATTAATTTTTACACAAATTCAAACAATAAAGTGTCTTGAATATGAGCTATATTAGTTATTATATAATAAGTTAATTATTAATAACAACTTTCACTTATAAAATTATTATAGATAATTAATTATGATGGTTATAATTAGGTTGAATTTGTGAGGCTCAACGACTTTATGAAGAACTTTGAGATAAGTTTATCATGTTTGAAGTACTGTATATATATTTATTAAAGTAATAAGTTACAAACAATACTGATAATTATAGTAGATATTTAAATTGAAGTCCATAGCAATTAATACACAAATAGTGTAGATTACATTTATGTTGTTACAAAGATTACAAACATCATATGCTTGTTGTTATACACTTGAAAACTGGGCTTAATTTCACACAAATTAAATTTCATTATACTTTTCCCAACAAATTATACAATAAAATATGATTTCAATCAAAGTCTATGGACAGAAATGGGCGAAAACTGTTATAATAAAAGTAAATGTTTGTCACATAAATGCATATCACATATCAATCTCTGGTGTTTATTAAACAATACAATTGAGAAAAAACACTTTTCATATTAAATAATAATAAAACACATTACAAGTACAGTATTGTATGGTTGGTCGGGGTAGAAAAGTTTGTGGGCGGTTGTCTAGTTTACATCAATCACAAAATATTAATAATAAAATTGTTTTTGAACAAAATATAATCAACATTTTATGCATATATTGATATTAAAACTTTCACTTTCCCTATGAAAATGAAATCATAACTTAATATATTGTTTATTAATTAAATACATGTCTCTTTTGGCACATTTTTCATGCCTTTATAACTAATTTATTTATTTATTACTGACTTAACAGAAACTATGTATTCATTTAATACCAAATACAGTGATTTATTAAATATAATTTACGATTGGCTTCA